AGAAACCCAATATTTTTACTGTTGCCTTTTTGTTACATTTTGTTGTATTTGTGCTGATAATACACACACACACACACACACACACACACACACACACATACATACAATTGTTTGGAACAACAATATGGAATTATTACCATTTTTTGTCAGCAAAGTTTGATTCATACGCAGCTCTTCTAGTTCCTTGAAAATCTTAGAATCTGAAGAAATAGGGAGACTGAATTCAGACATTGCATCAAACCATGGTTTCCTGGATGAACCATAATTGTCCAGATTAGAACAACAATTATATGCTAAGCCACAAATCATCCTTTATAATTTACAGAAACTGGATATGCACTCCTCAGTGAGTCAAACCAATTACATTGCAATTTCTGTGAAATGTTTAACCTGGCCAAGACTAGCCAATTTGAAATGAATTAGTTTGATTTTCACTTTGAGACATAGACATCCACATTAGCATGGACATCAGTAGATTGTGAGTTCCTGTGAAAGTTAAAGAGGAATGATCTCGACCCTATAACAGAAAATAATAAGTTTCTGACATGTTTCAAATGGTTGTCTTCTTAAGGGATAAATCTGTACCGCACATTACCAGTCCACTCTCTTATATAAAGATTGTTATAATTAAAAAGTACAATTATTGACCAAATTTCTCAAGTACTGGTTTTTCCTAGTCTGTATTTCAGATTTTCATTGTCTTTTGCTAGCATGGAGGTGTTATACCTTTTACAATTAGGAGCAGGGGTGGGTTCCTACCCAAAGCGGTACCAGTTTGCTTCTTGCACGTGCCAGCCACACATTGCTCACACATGCACAGTTCACTGTAAATGGTTCTGCAAATGCACGAAGACTATTAAAATCTAATAAAAAAGATGCCAGCAATGGCAAGGGCGACTGGGGAACTGGTTCAGGGGCGTGGCCAGCATGGGTTGCTGCTGGTTCTGCGACCCAGGCCAGATTATCACTACCAGTTCGGCCGAAACGGGCCAAACCGGGAGCAACCCACCGCTAATTAGGAGGAACAAGAAGTAAGGATGAAGGGGTGACAAGCAAAAGAGAATCTGAGTGATAGCTAAAAAGAATCTGAGATGTCAATGAATAAGCTGCATCTAAGGAGGAAATCATGAGGCTCACTAAGAAAAGGACAGTGTTTTCATTTAATATAACTTTTATATTTACACAATATACAACTTTACTAATTTAAAAGAGTGGCCGATAGTATCTCTAACTAATAGCTAGCTATGGAGGAAAGTGTTTTACAATCTGTAGAGAAAAATGTGAGAAGGAATGATGGTTGGCCACCAGGTAGTGGGTTCTAAATAAAGGCTTTCATGTGAAGTGTTCAACTTGGGAATCGTGTGACAGGAAAAGAATGGGATGTGAGCAAAAAAAACCCACATTATTTCCTACAGTATTTTTTTTCCAATCAGGACATTGAGATTAGTAGTCACAAAAAGCAAATTTTCCTCCTCCTATCCTCAAACTTCATCAAACACAAAATAAATTGGATGAAAAGCGAGGTATTTTGTTGGGCTCCATCCAATCAATTCCAGCCAGCATGGCCAATAACCAGAGATGATGGCAATTACTTATAGTATCTGGGCAAATATTTCAGTGACAAAACAGATTCATCTTGTATAAAAGTGAGCAATAGTTTTTAGTCAATATATTTAGTAAGTTGACTCTCTAAAAGTAAATTATTTTCAAATGCCTGTGTAATTGAAAACATAACTGAGATACTTTGTTTCTGATTTAGATTTTTTTTAAATAAAGGTGTCTTTCCCCTCCCAAAATTCCCCAAGCTGGTGAGAATTGTGGAAAATGCAAACTTAATGCATACGAATGGAAATACTATGAGGTTGATCTTCCTTACTCATTTGTAAGGTACCAGATTGTACACTATTCAGGTGATGGTTAACCTTTCTGGTACAGAGTGCCAAAACTGGAGCGCATGTGTGTCTGCCAGAGCACTGGAACCTGGAAGAGAGCAGCTAGCCAGTACACATGTGCATGGCAGCCAGCTGCTCTTCTCTGTTCTGTTGTGCACATGCGTGCCAGACAGCTTCTCTCTTCTGGGTTCCGGTGTGCGCATGTGCAAAGACCAGCTTGCCTGTGCACATACACGCATCGGAGCCTGGAACAGAGCAGCGGGCCGGTGTGCATGCGTGCCAGACCAGTTGTCCAGCACACATGTACGCGACTGGACCTGGAAGAGCAACTGGCGACGGTGCATGTGCCCACAGAGAGGGCTCTGCGTGTCACCTCTGGCATGCGTGCCATAGATTCACCATCACGGTCCTATTCTCTATCTTTTTCTTCATATCCAAGATCTTCTATTTTAGAATGGAGATAGATGAACCAGGTTTTGACACAGAAGACATACATTTTGATGCCATTACAGCAACGATGATGATCCACAGCAAAAGAAATGCAATGGTCACAAGAGAAAAGATCAGCAGGGATACTCCTGAACCACCTTGGCTGCGTAGTGGCAGGAAATTACCTGTGGACAAAAAACATATGTTTCATGAAACCTACAGTGATAAAACTAGGATGAGAATCCAATTATTAATACTATAGAACAGGTGTGTCAAACCCGCATTGTTATGGCAGCATCATGTGACGTATCATGAATTTTCCCCTCTTCACTAACGGGTGTGGGCATGGCCAACACATGATGCACCTGGGCCATGGGCCGTGAGTTTGACAGCCCTGCTATAAAAGAAAAAGTCCACAAAGATTCACACACACTAGCTAAGATCCCATTCATTCTAGAATAATATTTGAATTAGCTTTTCTCCATCGCAGCAAAACATGCTTTTATACAACTGGCTTCCTATATGGTATAAACTTTTATAATCATTAGGCTCTTTCTTCATCACACATGAAATGGATTATGACAGAGATGAGAATGGGCACAGGGGAAAAAACTGCCTTTGAAATGAAACACAATACATCAGAGTAAATGTTCTTAAACAATTGCACAATAAGAAAATTACTATTTCTCCACAGCTTACTGCAGCATTAGTGACTCGACAATTTGAATGGACCAAATGGCTAACACTGTATTTCCTGGTAATCCTCTAAGGAAGAATGTCAATATAATAATGTCCATAAGAAACTGATCTTACCATAATACCCACTGTTGTCCCAGACAAGTTCTTGTCATGTTTTCTCTCTCTCTCAGACAGTGCATTGTTTGTGTTTTCAAATAGAATAATTTATTCTATCAATAATTGCTATGGTAAATAATATTGATGAGAGTATGACTGTTGATAAGACGATGGCAGCCCTCTCATTGTTATAATATAAATATTCCTAGCCCGCTCATCCCCACATTTCATTTCCCAGGCTTCTGTGTAGAAGGAGAAAGAGAGATTCTAAATAGAATCAGAATAATTTACTCCATCAATAACTGCTATGGTAAATCGCTTTATTTCAAAATATGGTCTTGAATGGGAAGTCAGCTACAGTATAATTTTTTTAAAAAATCTTTATTTGCAGTGAACCACAGTTGATCTGTATTATGTATTTTGTACTTATTTCAGCTCTGTCATTTAGGTACATTCAATAGCCCTATGTCTATGGAGATTCTCCATCATCCAGATTATGGTTGTCCCAAACGTGCTTTTTTCCAAAAGGCAACTGGACTTTCTTGGGGGGGGGGGGAGTTCTTTGAAAATGTTTCACGTCTCATCCAAGAAGTTTGAATGTTCCAAGCAAAATGTTTTCAAAGAAAAAAAACAAGTCCAGTTGCCTTTTTGAAAAAGCACCTTTAGGTGACCTCTGAACCTTAGAGATCATTTCTGAGTTTCAAAGGAGCTCTCACCACACTTTCTGTCTTGTGCTCATAGTCTCTCTTTCTTCACTGAACCCTGAGAAATGAAATTTGGTGGCAACCAGGCTAAGAGTGTTTATACTAACCATAACAATAATCTGTCAGCTCCCATCACGTGTTACACTCTCACCAATATTATTTAAAGTATTGATTACAAGAAGTTATGAATGTCTGCTAAGAAAGTGCTAGTTTTCCCTTGAATTTTTTAAAAAGCATATCATTTGTATTGCATACCTCTAGTGTTAAGTATTGACTATCTATCTATCTATCTATCTATCTATCTATCTATCTATCTATCTATCTATCTATCTATATATATATATATATTACCTACAGCTGTTAGAAATGCCTGAAGTATTTTTTTTAAAAAAGTCAGCCTATGTACCAAACCATTTTATCTGTGAGGTAAAATGGGCAAGTAAAAGATTAATTCTTTGATCTCTCAAGTACCTTCATCTGATTTATGTAACTTTAGAGGGTAATAGTATGCACTTCCAGCTGAGTAAGACAGAGAAGATTTCTGAATTGCTTCTTAGCAAGAAAGCAGTAAGATAATGGCTAGGATGCCATTTTTTACTTCATCAATTCCTAGAATGCCTTGGGGAAACCCTGTTATAACTAAACTGTTTGAAACCTGATAAGAAGTCTTAAAGTACATGAATTAGATCTGGTTATCTTAGTTCCAGAACACATGTGAATGCCTTGTGTTCTTATGAATCTTGCTGATCCAGCAAAAGAGGTTATGACCAATTGATTACAAATGGATGAATGGAGGAAGCAGCTGTCTTTGGTATGACCCAGAGAAAGGGAACAAACGGATTGTTCTCTCAAACATTGCACAACAAAGATCACATGGTTTCAGGCTCAATATGCTTTCTGTTGTGGAACAGAATTCAATAGAAACTCCCTTATGGTGGGGCTGAGATTACTTTGATTCACCTTACCAGCACAGAGTTCAGATTCAGAAGCAGCACATTTAAAAGGAAAAAAGGCTCATTCCTTTGGCCAGTTAACTTCTGCAGGTGTGATAATTGATATTCTCTAAGGGAAACTCAGGTACATATTTCCTACAGAATACTGACCTAGTTAGTAAACAAACTATGACTGTTTACATGGTTAATTGAAGGAACTGCAACCATGTGAGTTTTGCATGTCATGAGGTTCACATTATTTATGCCTACTTTATAAAGATAAACTTAGAAACCTTATTTCATAGAATTGCTGAACTAGAAGAGTCAACTGGGCTCAAAATCCCTCTTCTCAGTACAAGAATAGAAAATAAACCATCACAGAGAGATGGTTGCCTACCTTATACTTGGCAACATCTAATAAAAAGGGCATTTCAGACACTGTTTAAGAAAGTTTGGTTGCTATCTCCTTGTTTTTAGAAATGCAGATCAAAAATTGGAAAATAAATGTAAAGAGATTGGGCTTTGTCTTCAGGTTCAGGTTAGTACTATAGGCCTTTCATCAGGTCAGATCATTGACCCATCTACCTCAGTGTTAGCTAGAGTTGACTGTTGAGTCTCTCAGGGCTCAAGATAGAGGACCCTCCCCACATATCTTAGAACAGGGGTCTCCAACCCCTGGTCCATGGACTGGCACTGGGCCACAACATGGGTCACATAAACAAGCAAAGCCCCATCCATGAGATGCAGGCAATAATGTAAATGATGCCACTTCTGGTCCATGGGAAAAACCTCTCTCCGTTGAACTGGTCCCTGATGCCCAAAAGATTGTGGGCTACTGCCTTAGAAGACCTTTAAATCTGAGTTTTCTGGTATACAAAATCTTGTGGTCCTCCACTGAGCTACAGTAAGAGCCAAGGTGGCGCAGTGGTTAAATGCAGCACTGCAGGCTACTGCTAGATCAGCAGGTCAGCGGTTCAAATCTCACCGGCTCAGGG